CTTCCTGAGAATCATTTCGAATTTTGTCGATTTACGATACACTATGAATATGACGGACAAAGAAAGAGGACAAAATATACAGTTCCTCATTCTACCCTCAACAATTGCTGTGATAGACAAAGGAACATCCCTTTACTGCTATTTTGTAAACATGTGTAGAACAGGTGTGACATGCATATTCACCTGTTTTACACATGTTTACATAATAGCAGTGAAGGGATGTTTCTTTGTCTACCACAGCAATAATTGTTGAGGGTAGAATGAGGAACTGTATATTTTGTCCTCTTTCTTTGTCCATCATATTCGTAGTGATATTTACTTTAATTGTCCTTTGTCGTCCCACAACTGTGCAAAAATAATGGATACCTTTCAATGCCTACAACAAGCATAATATTAACTTTTTCACTTCATCATATTTCATATTTCCACCTAGCCTTGTCTTATGATAATACTGCAAGCATGCATTGCATGAACAATTTGAAATTTGACCTATATCCTTCTGCAGAGACATACAAATATTTTCAAAATGATTTGAAATCATTATTTTCAAAAATGCTTTCAATATTTGTCTGGGGACACAAAACATGATCGGAATTACTTTCGAAAAATCAACCTAAAGCATTTTTAATAGCATGACAATAAGATACATGTATTACGTAATCCTAACCTCATTTCTATGGGATGTACACCAGGGTAGTGCCCTTGAACAGATATTTCGAAAACAGTTGCGCTCGTTTTACAAACAACTTTTATTTAGTTTTCTTGAGATTTAATCATTTACATAACATGTATAATAAGCATGATAGTGGCATGACGTCATGAGGATCACCAGGTTGAATGCAAGGGATGGAGTTACGGAGTGGTGAAAAATCGTGTGGAAAGAATGGGGGCTGGAGCCTTTTCTGCTTCAGTGAAATGACGGATTTATTTTAGATCGAGAAAGAAGAAGTTCCTCTTAAGTGTTCCTGCCTTTAGTTTGACCCCTCCCATCTCGTATTGATATATTCTTGGTGAGACTACAGCATGATTGTGGTAGTTTCTGGTTGTACAATTGAGTGATTAGTTGCTCAATCCTATGAATTGTTTTTTACAGTGCGTTTTTAGGTTGATCCAAGGCAGCATTGATCGTTGAGGGCGCGCGTGACGCTCTACCGGTAGTGTCCCTTTATAAAGAGACAATATCTACCGGTATTACAGATTAAACATATAACAAAAACTAGATGGAACTTCGACTGCGCGCAGTCGAAAATGATGCCTCCGTCATAGAGCAATTTTACAAACCAAAACAGAAGAAATTTTTTGAATTCAAGTTCAATTGTAATCCATTAACAGGTTCTCAGAATATCGTGATTACAAGCACTTTCTCATATACATATATGACCCTTTGATCTTTGACCTCATGACCCTAAAATCTACTCAGTTTATTGGCTCTGCAAGATGTCCTGAGTTAAATAGTAATCCATCTGTCAGTTCTAATGAGAATGCGTTCACAAGCTATTTTTGCATACATAATGAGCCCATGACCTTTGACCTTTGACCTTATGAACCAAGAATCTACTCAGTTCATCGGTTCTGCACGTACCATACATGACCTAAGTTTGGCAGCAATCCATCAATCAGTTCTTGAGATCACGAGCTGTTTTTGCATAATGAGCCCTGTGACCTTTGACCTTTAACCTCGTGACCCCAAAATCTGATCAGTTCATTGGCTCTGCAAGATACATACATGACCAAAGTTTGGCAGGAATCCATCAATCGGTTCTTCAGATAACGCGATCACGAGCTGTTTTTGCATACATAATGAGACATGTGACCTTTGACCTTTGACCTCGTGACCCCAAAATATAATCAGTTCATCGGCTCTGCAAGATACATACATGACCAAAGTTTGGTAGAAATCTATTAATCGGTTCTTCAGATAATGCGATCACGAGAACTGGACGTACGTACAGACGTACGGACGGACGGACGGACGGACAACCCGAAAACATAATGCCTCCGGCTACTTCGTAACGGAGGCATAAAAAGCAGAAACACGAAGTTGCAAACCATCCAGAGACTCTTAATAACTTGCGTTACTGACTAATTAATTATATAATTACAAATCATTATTCTCAGTTTGCTTATGTATAACTGATTTTCTTATAAAACTGAAGATATGGCGTATATATTCAATACTATATGAACGCCATTAAACTATTACCAACAACAACAACAACAACGGTATTACTTGAAGTAGAGCTCGATGCCGATAGACTGGTTTATCGTCTGACTCGGAGTACGACGGTTGCCAGGGTGAGGAGTACTAGCCACCAAGCCGTTGTGGTTAGGTAGCCGATCCAGACCTCAAAGTAACTCATGTCCCAACCTGAAAGAAAGAAAGAAAGAAATGCTAGTGAGATTTCTGAACGCCCATTTTCGTTAGCTTTAAAGACCGTCAGTACTACTGGGCCAGAAGGGATTAGACCACACAGCGAGGTCACTGACAGATGGCTATTTAATCAACCCAGCTCTCAACTAACATAAGAAAAAGAGGATCATGGGGGACCAATAGGCACCGATTGAAGAAGTTTTCTATATAGAGGGAGCAAGTAGCTACAAGTAGGACAGAGGGGCTTAAGTGGATCAAATATTTGCGAACTTCGGATTTACTATAGTCTGTGATATAATAAATTGTGAAATAAATATTTTCACTCTTTCTCCTCCTCTTATCAACTTCGCTCTCATCTGACTTTCTCATTTTCTCTCTTTATCTTGTTGTTCTCTTTCTCTCCCCCTTTTCTCTGCTTTGGTTTTCATTTGTCATCACAATTGCAAATAAAATCATCTACACAAACGAGGTTAATACAAATGGTATATTGAGTAGAACAGAAGATGACAAGTGAAGAAAAGGAAGAAGAGACAAAGAAAAAGAACATGCAGAATGTTAGGACTTACACAATCAGGGGCGGATGGGGAGGGGGGGGGGGGGTAGTGATCACCTTTTTTTTTGGCCCTCGAAAATTTGAACAATCGAACCCCCCACCCCCTTGAGCGCCAGGGGTGGGGGCCCATCTCCCAATAAAGGTAAAATTAATGTGTTTTTACACGTTTTTTTCCCCAGGGGGCCACCCCCCCCCCCCACCTTCCTCCATGGATCCGCCAATGTAAAGTAGAAATTATTGATATAAAACATTACCTCGTCCAAGTATTGCTCGTATGCCTTCTGCAGCCAAAGTCTGAGGCAATGCTAGTGCGATGTAATAAACGGGTTCGGGCATGGCTTCAATCGGCCACACAACACCTGTTATAGATAATTAAATAGGTAAAATTTCACTCTTATTTCTGTCAAATTATAATAATTATTAAAACAAATAAGCGATCAAACGAAAACAAGCACATGAATCAAACAAAAATGAAACAAACAAAAACAAGCAAATCAATCGAACCAAAACAACGTGAAACAAAACCATTGTATTAAATACGGTAAACTTAGAAGGAGGTAAGGGAGGTGTGAATCAGAGAGGAAGAATGAACTACAATAATACACAAAATTGTAAGAATTGTAATTATGTTGAAGTTTACATTTGATTGTTAACATATACAAATTAAAATGGAGCAAGTGGCATTGCGGGTTAGTTAGGTGATACGTAACGAAGTCTACGTATCACCTATTGATTTCGTCAAGATTTTTATTCCTATTCCTATTATTAGGTGATACGTAACGAAGTCTACGTATCACCTTTTGATTTCGTCAAGATTTTTCTTTATTATTATTATTTATTTTTATTATTCTTCCTCGAATTTGTTCGCAAGATATCTCAAGACTGAATAAAGCCATTATCATGAAACTTGCCATGATGATAGATCTTAGTCTAACTTAGAACTGCGTGACTTTTTGGAGAGTCAAAATGATCGTGACGTCATCCAGGCGCCATTTTGTGAAAATCAACTAATGATCATATCTTCATAACGGAAAAGTATTTCTCATTCATAATTATCACGATTAAGATAAATATCCGTCCGGTCAAGTTGAGGTCAATAAAAGTGCGCAAATGCGCGCGTGCGCGTTCGTCCGCGCGTTTACGCGCGCGCAAAAATTTAAAATGCTCCAAATCATCCCAATTTTTTTTTGCATACGTTTCAGGCCATATGGAGCATTTGATAAAAAAATTACGCACACGCGCATGCGCGCGCGTTTTCGCGCGTACTGGCATTTTGCAACATAGAATCGCCGATTTTTTTCTGTCATCATATTCGGTACATTTTTCCAAGCATTTTGATAATTTGTTCACCTTTTATTAACGCAATGAGCGTCCGTCAAAGTTGACAGCACGCGCGGATTTGCGTTATCTTTATCCACAATACATGGGCAAAAACATGCCTATATAAAATTCATTGTAACTCTTTAGAATAGATAGAAACTCCTAATATTTTTTCATATTTATATAGATTATGAGTCGGAGATATGATTTCATGTCTCATTTTATCCTCAATTAACTCATGACGTCATCATAATGGCCTCCAAACTCAAAATTTTAATTTGCATATCATGACGTCAGCATATTTTTGGAAAATTGATTGTATCTCTGTAAATATGGATCAATTTTCTTTTTAATTATGATATGTTCTAGCTGAGACAATTTTCTACAAATGTAGTATTCACAATTTTTATTTTTGACAAAAGTATCATGGTGTATTTTTGCGATTAAATGAGGCATGTCAATTTTTCGCATTTTGCGTGTATTCTCTATGGGACATGACTTTTTCTCAAAACTGGATTCTACACTCCTGTCTTTCGCGAGCAAAATCTCCGTTGTTTTAGCTTTGTTTTCGCTGAGCTTTGGATATGTTGTAGCTGAGACAATGAGCTATCAAAAGTGTTCCCTTTATTTTTCGATTAGATGCCAGAATTATGCTCATATTTCACTTGCAAAGTAGGATTTCTGAATTCCATTTCCCGTTTACGTTTAATCGCTATGGGAGATGTTTTGGTATATCGGTAACGCACTTGACTTCCAACCTCGAGATCCCTGGTTCGAGTCCGGGTGTCTCCAACACTTTTTTTTTCTCACTTTTTTTTCCTTTTTACCTTCACTGTACCATCTCCTTTGATTATTTAAACACGTAGATTCGCAAATAATGTCATAAATAACGCTTTTTACTTTATTATTACCCTATTTTTACTTAATCCATTACTTTTTGCGTGTAATCCCTATGGGAGATGACTTTTTCTAAAATCTGGAGTCTACATTCCTGTCTTTTGCGAGCAATATCGCCGTTATTTCGGCTTGGATTTTGTTGATTTTTGAGTATGTTGTAGCTGAGACTATATGCTATCTAAATCAACCCTCATTTTTTCAATAAGATGTCATGATCGCGCTCATGATCATGATCATGATCATCATGATCATCATTATCATAATGATGATAATCATTTATCAGTTACATTTTCATTTCTTTGAATAAGATAAAAATCGTCAAAAGGTGTTCTTCATGATGTAAATTAGAGTCAAATGTGTAACTGGTTACTGCACAGGGTCAAAGGTCATATATTGTTTCAGTCTATCTTCCCTAGATCCATGATGATCAAGGAGACACAATTTAATCTTGACATATGACTAGATCATAATGGGAGAAGCATATGAATTGGAGAAGCATTTTACAAAATAATATATCGTGTAATGCATTATTCGTTATGTAGACCATTATCATACGTATCACCTAATTCGTCTAAGTGACGAATTAAAGTCTAGTATTTATTTTGTGTCTGTATAGAAGAAATTATTATTATTCTTCCTCAATTTTGTTCGCAGGATATCTCGAGAATGGCTTTAGCCATTATCATAAAACTTGCCATGATGATAGATCTTAGTCTAACTTAGAACTGTGTGACTTTTCATAGACTCAACGTAATCGTGACGTCATCCAGGAGCCATTTTGTGAAAATCAACTTATGATCATATCTTCATAACGGAAAGTAATTTTTCATTCATATTTATCATGAATAAGATCAATATCCGTCCGGTCAATAAGGTCAATAAACATGCGAAGATGCGCGCGTACGCGTTTGTCTGCGCGTTTACGCGCGCGCAAAAATAAAAATGCTCTAAATCATCCCAAATTTTTTTTGCATACGTTTTAGGCCATATGGAGCACTTGACAAAAAATCATGCTCACGCGCATGCGCGCGCGTTTTTTGCGCGTACAAGCATTTTGCAACATAGAATCGCCGAATTTTCTCTACCATCTGATTTGGCACATTTTTCCAAGCATTTTGATAACTTGTTAACCTTTTAATAACGCAATGAGCGTCCGTCAAAGTTGACAGCGCGCGCGGACCTGCGTTTTCTTTATCCACAATACATGAGCAAAAACATGCCTATACAAAATTCTTTGTAACTCTTCAGAATAAATAGAAACTCCCAATATTTGTTCATATTTGGATAAATTATGAGTCGGAGATATGATTTCATGTCTCATTTGATTCTCAATTAACTCATGACGTCATCATAATGGCCTCCAAACTCAAAATTAAAATTTGCATATTATGACGTCAGCATATTTTTGGAAAATTGATTGTATCTCTGTAAATTTCAATCAATTTTCTTTTAAAGTTTATTATGTTCTAGCTGAGACAATTTTCTACAAATGCAGTATTCACAATTTTTATTTTTGACAAAAGTATCATGGTGTATTTTTTGCGATTAAAAGAGGCATGTCAATTTTTCACATTTTGCGTGTATTCTCTAGGGGACATGACTTTTTCTCAAAAATGGATTCTACACTCCTGTCTTTCGCGAGCAAAATCTCCGTTGTTTTAGCTTTGTTTTCGCTGAGCTTCGGATATGTTGTAGCTGAGACAATGAGCTATCACAAATGTGCCCTTTATTTTTCGATTAGATGCCGGGATCATGCTCATATTTCACTTGCAAAGTAGGATTTCAGACTTCCATTTCCCGTTTACGTGTAATTGCTATGGGAATTGTTTTGGTATATCGGTAACGCACTTGACTTCCAACCTCGAGATCCCTGGTTCGAGTCCGGGTGTCTCCAACAATTTTTTGCTTCACTTTTTTTCTTTTTGTCCTTCACTGTACCATCTCCTTTGATTATTTAAACACGTAGAATCGCAACTAATGTCATAAATAACCCTTTTTACTTTATTATTATCCTATTTTCACTTAATCCATTACTTTTTGCGTGTAATCCCTATGGGATATGACTTTTTCTCAAATCTGGAGTCTACATTCCTGTCTTTTGCGAGCAATATCGCCGTTACTTCTGCTTGGATTTTGTTGATTTTTGAGGATGTTGTAGCTGAGACTATATGCTATCTAAATCAACCCTCATTTTTTCAATAAGATGTCATGATCGCGCTCATAATCATGATCATGATCATCATGATCATCATTATGATAATGATGATAATCATTTATCAATTACATTTTCATTTCTTTGAATAAGATAAAATCGTCAAAAGGTGTTCTTCATGATGTAAATTAGAGTCAAATGTGTAACTGGTTACTGCACAGGGTCAAAGGTCATATATTGTTTCAATCTATCTTCCCTAGATCCATGATGATCAAGGAGACACAATTTAATATTGACATATGAATAGATCATAATGGGAGAAGCATATAAATGGGAGAAGCATTTTACAAAATAATATATCGTGTAATGCATTATTCGTTATGTAAACCATTATCATACGTATCACCTAATTCGTCTAAGTGACGAATTAAAGTCTAGTTCTTATTATTCTTCCTCGATTTTGTTCGCAGGATATCTCAAGACTGAATCAAGCTATTGTCATGAAACTTTTAATGATGATAGATCTTAGTCCAACTTAGAACTGCGTGACTTTTCAAAGACTCAAAGTCATCGTGACGTCATCCAGGCGCCATTTTGTGAAAATCAACTTATGATCATATCTTCATAACGGAAAGTAATTTTTCATTCATATTTATCATGAATAAGATCGATATCCGTCCGGTCAATTTCAGGTCAATAAACGTGCGCAAATGCGCGCGTGCGCGTTCGTCCGCGCGTTTACGCGCGCGCAAAAATTTAAAATGCTCTTAATCATCCCAAAATTTTTTTGCATACGTTTCAGGCCATATAGAGCATTTGATAAAAAATCGCGCTCACGCGCATGCGCGCGCGTTTTTTGCGCGTACTAGCATTTTGCAACATAGAATCGCCGAATTTTCTTTATCATCATATTTGGCACATTTTTCCAAGCATTTTGATAACTTGTTATTCTTTTAATAACGCAATGAGCGTCCGCCAAAGTTGACAGCG